GTCGGGGGGGGGGAGAGACTAAAGAGTCTGGCAGCGGGGAGGGAACGAGTCCAAGGTGGCGGCGGTGATGGAAAACGAGGGCTCTCTCTTGAGGTTTCTTGAGCGGGGGCGACTCCCAGGAAAGGGCTGTAGCGCAGCGGCCAAGCGGCCCGTGGGGCTTGCGCTGCAGAAGTTCCATCGCGGGCACCTTTTACCTCAACAGGTCTCCGTTAGCGGGACACGGAAGGAGACCCATGTCTGTAAAAGAGCCGCTTCCTTGAGTGGGACGCAGAACCAGGAGGAGATCGGCCAGTAATCTGGTTCGGTTTAACTAATGCAGCTAAAATACGGGTACTATTTCCCAGGATGAGGTTTGCTCCCTTTAGAGCAGTGGTCCCCAACCTTGGGCTTCCAGAATTTCTTGGACCAACTCCCAGAAATCCTGGCTAGCAGAGGTGGTGGTGAAGGCTTCTGGGAGTTGTAGTCCAAGAACATCTGGAGGCCCGAGTTGTAGTCCAAGAACATCTGGAGGCCCAAGGTTGGGGACCACTGGTATAGAGTACAGTTCCAGTGGCCTTTGTGCTGCGTGGCTTTTACATATTATTTACGGGTTATTGCCGTGCGGTGTGTCCTGGTCCTGAAGCAACACGTTCTGTGTGTCGTGAAAGGGTACCAATTAAACTTGTCATTGTTGTCCTTCTCCTCCTAGCCTGGGGAGAGGAGGCGTTTGTGAGATGGGCTGCCTCATGTACCAAAAACTAAACTTTGTTTTTAGTGCTTCTTCACTTGAAGGAGAAGTGCAGGATAAAACTTGCTGTTCTGTTTCAAGGAATAATATAGGTTGCAGTGGCTTTGATTTGGAGTCTATAATTGGGTATAACGTTCGCTGCTTTTTGAAGACACAATGTTTAATGCTTGTAGGGCAAGAAAGGAAGGTCAAGACATCAAGTGAAAGCACAAAATGATGTGAAGTTTCTGTGATGCTTCCTGTGTTAATGTTGTTCAGGTTATTAGTACTATTTCAGTACGTGTAGCTGGTCATCTAAGCGGAACAAGAAGAGGGCTAAAGCATTAATACTGTATTGATCATAGATGTTCTATACTCTTGTTTAGTACAGTACTGGATTTTAGAAAAAACTGCAGTTTTCAGAAATTTTTAAAGCATGGAGAAAAATATGTTCTAAAGAAAAAGTAGGAAAGATGGGGTGGGGTGGGTGGAATATTTGTAACAGTTTTTCCTTCTGAAACCTGAATTTATTTTCCTCCTTTAGTAGCATAAAATGTGTGATTTACAACTCCAGAAGCCAAAACCCTATAGCAGTGGCAGCGAACCATTTTGGGCCCGAGTACCCAAACTTGGAAAGAAAGAAAGAAAAAACAGTGGGTGGTGTGCCGTGGAACCAGAAGTGGTGGAACCAGAAGTGGCGGCGGAAGGGGGAATCCGAGGCACAGGGATGCCTCGAGACCCCACTCCGGATCTGCCGCCAGCTGCTAAGTCGAAGCGCCAGCACCACGGCTGCAGCCACCTCCTGAGGTTTAGCTGCGGGGGGGGGGAGTGAGTAGCGATCTAGCAACTTATGGCTCGCGTGCCCGCAGAAAGGGCTCTGCGTGCCCGCTGTGGCACGCATGCCGTAGGTTCGCCATCACTGCACTATAGCTTCATGTCGGCTCATTAAATCAAACGACATTTGGTGGGCCAGCTCCTCTAAGTTCCATCGATTAAAATGAGTCTGCTCTAGCCACAACATGCTTTGGCATAGGCAAAGGAAATGATTAGATCAGAAAGACAGCACTCAGACTATTTGATTCTCCGAAATCCAGTAGTAAAAGACAGCTAGATTAGGGCTATTGAATCAGTGGAAATTTGGTGAGTCAGCTTCTCTGTAAATTGCATTGATTCAGTGGGTCTTCCCGAGTTGTGGCATATTACAGGATTTCAGCCATTATGTTGTTGTTGTGTGCTGACAAATCAGAACCAACTTGTAGTAACCCTAATGGGTCTTTTCAGGTAACTGAAATGTTTAAGGAGTAGTTTAACCAAAGCCGCTGTCCAATGACTTTCCATGGTAAAACAGGGGTTTGAAGCCAGGTTTCCTGAGATCTAATCCTCGTTTAGTCCATTATTCCTCACTGGTTATCTCTACTTGATTATAGATAGAACCTCCAAATTAGATCAGCTGTCATCAGAAGAAGAGTAGCAGTTTATAGACTGTGAAGCTATCTATGCCTCTCTCATTAAGAGGACAGCAACAGCAATAGCATTTTAATATTGTATACAGTATTTTAAATGGGTGACACTTGGTCTTGAAAAGCATGTGCTGTAACTCATTCTAAAGGGATTTTTCCATAGTAGTTTGCTTCACTGTTTATTAACTCTTCTAGTATAAAGGGGGGGAGGTGTATTTTGAATTTTCGACTTTATCCTGATCTTCACATCTCGATTTGATTACGGAATTACTTCCAGGGACACATGAGGTGTCAGTCTAAATATTTAGTCTTGAAAATGCAAAATACAATAACACCATAGATAACAGACTCAGTGAATTCACTACCCTGATCTCTCACTTGTAGTCTAAGACCAACAACTCTGATTTTATTTATTTTATTTTATTAGATTTCTACCCCACCCATTGAGACCAAAGGTCTACTCTGGGCGGAATTACAAATTAAAAAGCAGTTAAATGCATTTCTAAGTCCCTTTCTAGTGATATAAGAAAAGTGATTCAGTAACTTTTTAAGCTAAATTATCCAGTTTCAGAGAATGTTAAACCGATGGGAACATACAATGCTGTGAATATTTTTTTAAGTAATCAAAATTCTATCTAGAATAAATTGTTTAAATTTGTTCTTTAATTCATCTTGATTGACATACTTTGTGCTGAAAATGGTTTTGGACATAAGAGATAAATCCCATTATTAGTCACAAATAAAGTAAACTTGTTGACTAAAATCATTTTTCTGTAAGTTATGCTACAGAAGGCTGGTAATCAGGTATGGCATGTTTTTGGAAACTTTTCCAGTTTCTCCCCTGAAGGTCCCAAGGCTCTTGGGGAAT